GGCCTTGACTGAGCCGCTTGGTCCCGCAGGCCGAGATGTACGACTCCAGCTTTTTCTACGAAAACCTGAAGGTTCCCACCGTCGCTATGGGTGAGTGGCAGCGGGGGCTTTGCCTGACGGGGCCGTCCCCGTCCCCCGGGGGCGGCAGGGGGGCAGCCGGGGCTGAGGGGGGACCCGGGGGGAGAGGACAGGGGATGGGACTGAGGAGAGACCCCCGGAGAGGGGCAGGGGATGGGGCTGAGGGGAGGTCCAGGAGGAGGGGGCAGAGTCCAGGTCCCCGCGGTAGCACACCCCACTGCCTCATCAGTTGTAAACTTTCCAAAGCCTCCTAAAAATACAGTGTTTCCATCAATTTACCCTTGGTATGCTTCTGTCGCTGTGTAATTCTGCTCTGTAGGTCACTTGGCTGTTTTCATTTACAAATCCAAGGAGGATCTTTTTCTCCATCTTAGGTTATTTTCCAGGTTCTTCCTGTGTTCTCCTTGCATCAAGTGCAGAAAGTGCATTAAAATGCATGCTCAGAGGTGGAAAGACTGGCCCTAGAATTTGGGGTATAGGAATGGCACAGAAGTAAGAGTTTTCTGTAACTCAGAAATCCTTTTTTTTTTTTTCCTTCCCTCAGTTCAGATATGGAATAGATTATATTTTTAGTTCAGACCTTCCCTTATGCATAAGTAAAACCACAGTGTTCTGGAACATAACACGTCTCATAATAGAGGCTGGGGAATAAAGACTAACCCTACCAAGTACTTGATGTAAAAGTTCTGTAATAATTTTGACTTCTCTGTCTGCAGATAAAGATCTACAGTTTCACATTGTTAAGCAAGCTAGAGCTCAAAGTGCAAAAGAAGGTACAGGCTACAGTGAAGGTACGTAGCAAGCAGATACTGAGATGACTTTGCTGCTCTTGTCTCCCCCCTCGGAGCTGCCTTCATTCCACTTGTGTACTGCTGCAAAGACTTTTTAAAATTTATTTTTAATATTCCTTCCCTTGTATATTTTGGAGCTTGACTACTTTCTCTACTCAGGACAATTAGATAAGAGAAAATACGAGTCTGTTGTGCTCACATCTCTGGTTCTCTTCAGGAGTGGAAAATCAACAGTACAAAATTCAGGAGTTTCTTAAAGCACGTGTCCTTCACTTCCCATCCCACTACCTACCCTTTGCTTTCTGCCTGTGTGTTCCAATATTATCCTTCTGGTCTTTATGGGTCAAACTCTTTTAATGCTGCCTCCAGCTGTGTTCTTCATGTGATGGTTCATTTAAGGATTAATTGCTAGATATGAGCTGTGTGTGCTTGTCCACTGCTCCTCAGATCAAAACCCAGCATGTGTATTATTAGGTTGGATTGTTTCAAGACTGTCCTAAGAAGTTGTGTAAGAAATATCCCGATACATCTACAAATAGGATTGTGTCCTTTGCCACTGCTCTCAGCTCATTAGTTCCTTTATGTTTCATTTTTCAGTGGGTTTTGTGACCAGTCTGGGAACCAGGTTAAGACTGAGCAATGCTTGTCTTTTAGAATTCAGACCAATACAGAGCAGAAAAGTAGGGCTACCTGTAGAAACTACTTCACACCTGCAGCATATAATTTTGAAATTATTGCAACACCTGAAGGATACAGCATTGACTGTCTGCAGTCCTTTAGTTTGGTAAACCTATATGAGCAGAAGGAAAAGTGCATTTGTTCTACTTTCTTTGTAGGTTGCTCATGCATAGTTTCTCATGTTGTCTTTGTTTCTCTGGCATAGCAAATGGAGCCTTAACAGACAGTTGCTTGGGAAAGAGCTTTCATGTGATGGTCACTTGTTTGGAGCGTGTCAGGTGCATTTCCTCTGGAGAGAACTGATTAATTTGACACAAGGACATCCAAGCAGAGAACTGGCTAAACCCTTTCTCAGGTGGTGCATGACCAGGATGCATCAGTGAGCCACTAGATGCCAGTGTTTGCCGTCCAATTTCAACACAAGCTTGCATTTCTCTGAAGATAACACTGAAACTGTGTTGGGCTGGTTCTCTTTGGCATCCTAGCCTATTGTAAGATCTACTGACTTGGAATTGTTTAGTCTTTGGCAACAGAAATGAATGGAAAGCATTTTTCATCATACGTTTCCTTTTGACTGACTATCAAAGGAAGTAATTATCTTTCTTTGCTTTTAAAAAATTCTAGCCATATTTAGAACATTAGAATAGCTATATAATAGGACAGGAAGGCTGGTCTTAATCACAAGTTGTGAAATTCTTGTAAAACCACAAACACGTAACTATTAGGGCACTTTTATGGGCTTCCGTGACCCTTTAAGAACAGCATATTTTAAAAATAAAATTCTAGTGTTCATGCTTAAATCTGTAAGTTTGGATTAGAAAAGTTCTGGTTTAGGCTTCAAGTACAGTAATGAGGAAATCTTGAATTTTAGGTTTGTTGTTGTAGAGTTACTGTGGCTCCTCTTCCTCTTCTTTGGTGTCTTTAGTTAAACCAGGATGTGAAAGATTGCCCAGCTTCCGTTAAGTGCTGAATAATCTAGAGAATCAGTAGCTTTGCTGTTGTGAAGGCTCCCGCATACGCCCTGTTTTACGTGTTGGCTCTTCTGTCTGCCTGGAGATGTACGTCTGTGTGGGACTGCGCCTTGCAGGGAGAAGGTTGCCTTATGGGGAGCAGGATTATGGAGGTCAGGTCAATGGCTGCTGGGAATTTGAATATTTTCAAGGAAAATGCTTTACTGCAGGCAATATCTTAGAATACCGTATCCTGTATCTTGAGGGAAGGCACTTTGCTTGGCATTGTCCTTGCAATGGGTTGAGAATGGATATACTGTTTGTTGGGAGGATATGTGTTTTAACTGGGGAATGGGAAGAGCACTGGGCTGATCATTCAGGGCTAGAAGAGTGTGCAGGCAGTGTGTTTATTTTCATAACTGCAGTTATCTGAACTAATCTGGAACATTCTGCAAGTGCTTTTGTAGCCCTTTTAGTTATAAATGCCTGTGGCAGTCTATTCCAAAAGCTCTGCAGAGAAAGTGACTGAGTATGAGACTGATTTGCACAGTGCCCAGTTATCTGGTCTCCTAGAAGCTTTCATTCTTGTTGGCAGAACAGGTATTTTGCAGCTAGTACCTTATAGAAAATTCTAGGATTAAGACAAACCCACAAGTTAGAGCTTTAGTTTGTAAGCCAAGAGCTGAAGTTGATGGGACAATACAAAGTGTTCTTTTGGTCTAATCTACTACAATCCCTTCAAAGCGTATGAAAACCTGTAGCTAACAGTGTAAGCTGTCAAGAGAGGTTTTACAGCCTGTGTGGGGCTGGGGAAGGATTTGGGCCTTTTTTTTCTTTGAGCACTTTTTATCCTTTCAAATTAAAAAGGTTGAAACTTCTTACAGATATGTAGGGGAAGGATGAAAACAGCATGGGTGTTTACTGCTTGTTTGTTTGTTGAGCTTCTCAGTGTTTTCCTAGATAATTATGCTCTTTTACTAATAACAGCTCTCTGTTCAACCTCCAGGATCTTACTCATTACTGCCTGTAGAAGTTCCTCAGAATCACAAGCGTTTCACCTGTGACCTAACTCAAGCTGATCGCCTTGCTCTTTATGATTATGTTGTTGAGGAAACAAAGAAACAGAGGTCTAGATCCCAAATAACGGAAAATGACAGTGATCTCTTTGTGGATTTAGCAGCAAAAATCACCCAAGGTTTGAAGAATGATCTGTTGTTGAATTTATGGCTCAGAACTTTCACTTTGTCTAGTTAGATAAGTTTTGTTGAAAGCCAAACAGAATTGCTGGTGCTATTTTTATTGTGAAAAGCATAATGTTCTTAAAAGCCACAATGACAGCCTGACATGAGAACACACTGGTTTGGTATTATTTATGTTGTTTACTTTTGAGGAAGCCTCAGTGCTCTGCTATTGGCACACACATTGTGTGTATCTTAGTGGATGGATCTTTTGTCTTGGCTGCAACTGACTTCAAGTTGCATAAAGTTGTCAGCTTACTGTGCAGTTTGGAACAGTATTTGCTGTGAGAGATGATGATCACTTAAGACTAAAAGCTGAACAAGAAGGCTTGGCAGTCATCTGATGGAGCTCTTGAGCAAAATACAGATGGGTGTATTGGACTGAGGCCTTTCATCCCTGTTGAGTCATGCCAGTCTGTAACTATACTAAGTGCAACATAAGCACCTGTGTTACCCTGTGGGTCCTGCTGTGCCTAGGAGGTAGGATATAGTGTTTGTCATCTACACTGCTAAATCTTTTACAGAATCTGGCTTTCTCAATCTTTGTGTCTTACTGTAATACTGGCTTTGAAAACATGGCCTGTATTTTGTAGGCACTTCACCAGATCACAGACCCTTTGTTGATTTGGATCACTGTTAGCAGACTGAGATCACATAACAGCACTTGCTTAGGTGGCTTTTTAGTCTTGTAAAACTAGCAAGGAGGTTGGAGAGGAAAGTTGTGCTAAATTCGTAATAGTTACTAAATACAGGAGAAACTTCAGAAAGAACACTATATTTTGTGTTTCAGACTTTTCTCACTAAAGCACTAGACTTGCATACCTGCAGGTGCTAATGTCCTGCTAATGACCATGTGTTTTGCTTCCAATTTTTTGCTAGATGATAGCCAGAAAGGTCCAAAGTCCCATCTTGAAATTCTGGCTGAAATGCGAGACTACAAAAGGCGGCGGCAGTCATACAGGGCTAAGAATGTTCATATAACAAAGAAGTCCTACACTGAGGTGAGATCTGAAAATAGTTTTTTGAACAAAAATGCTTATTGTATATCAGCAGAAACAATGATAAGCCCTTTCGGACAAAGAAACTGTCTCTCTTTTTTCCGTTTCTTATGCCCTGGTTTATTAGAGTTGCAAACTATAGAGGAATCTTTTTTTTTTTTTTCTGGTTTGTTGCAAATAACAGGAGCATTTCTGACTTACATTTTGAATGTGAAAATGCCAGCAAGATATAGTTTACTGTCTATTGTAAAACAGTGTTATTTAAATTTGTGCTGAAATACCTGTTTCTGCAAATAAGACTTTCCATTCTAACATCTGATGTACAGGGTTCAGAGGGGAATTTTTTTTCTGAGATGTTTACCTTCTGCTGTCTAGTTGCTAGTTCAGGCCACTACCATGACATGCTGCTTTTCTTGTTGTTTGCTTTTAATGTATCTTAATCTCCAGGTGATTCGGGATGTGATTGGTGTGCATATGGAAGAACTCAGCAATCACTGGCAGGAGGAGAATCAGTTGGATAATGCAGAGATAAGTGAAGGAGGGAAGTCAAAACCCTCAGGAAGGTATGTCACAGTTGGCATATTCCTCAGGGATGTCAGCAGCCTGAGCCTGTAATGTTATCCTATTACCTCTTTCTAATAGGCCATACACCAACCTTGGGTGAGATGTATGCACAATCTGTTTTATATTAATTCTGTTAAGCGCTCGCTTGAGAAGCTCTGTCTGTATGAAGGATGAGGAAAAATGAATTACTAACTTTTTTTCAGCAGTAAGGAGGTAGATTGCAAGTGATCCAGGTGAAGAGGTAGTTCTTGGTGGAGCTGGGGAAGGAATAGTGCTCCCTCTGTGTCCAAATGCACACGTATACGTGATAGCTGGGACAGAGGACACTTGAAAATAGAAGTACGCAATTTCTTCTCCTCCCTACCACATGACAGGACATGCTATGGCAGATATAATATGAAATACCTCAGAGAAAAGGTTTTCATAATTTACTAATATGGTGACCATTTACAGTTCTTACGACTGTGAATGCTGCTGTGCTACCTGGGAGTGTGGTTTATGTATACGTATTTCTTCCTGTGTCAAGCAGCACTGCAGCCTCTTCCAAACTTTGTCACTGAAATGAAAATTGAATCATGACCTAGTGTAGTCTATTTGTGCTTCAGAGATCTTTGAGATAAAAAGGTTACTGAAACAAACTAAAAGGTGACACTCGAGGTGTTTGTTTTCAGTATTAAAATGAAGGTGAATGAAAAGGTTGTACAGGTGATCAGGCTTGCTGGGATCTCCAGCTATAGGGAGCAGCTTAAGGCAGGTGGTTTGAAGAGTCAGGGATCTAAAGCAAAAGAGAGGGAATCCCTTGTACTGTCTCCTGTTTCATGAGCAGAGGTAGGACAGTGTATGTAAAAAGTAACTGGATTAAACAGTGTGCTGAGATGTACACATACAAGAGCATGGAATTGGGGCCTCTTTTGGGAGGTACTGTATTTCTTAGAGAGATAGTCTTAATAAAAGATGTATCCTCTGTCTGACACCATTAATAGGTAATTATTACAAAACTGGTACTGAAAACAATAGTGACTGTGAAACTTTTTATTGAATGAAATCAATAATCTTTTCTTCAGAAAGGAAGACAGGCGGTCAGCTTCAGTGGACTCACGGCAGTCTGGAGGAAGCTGTAAGGACACTGAACGCACCAGACATAGGAGAGAGACCAGTAGGAGTCCAAATAAACGAAAAAGGAGTCACGAAAGAGGCAAAGACAGAGATTCTCGAAGAAAAAGAGAAAGGTGAGCATAAATAGTGACAGCTGACTCCTGCTTCTGAATCAGGCAGCTGTAGCCATAGTCTGTGAGAATGGAGTGCAGAGAATTAGAGTATCTTGTCCAATTAAAAAGCTAGGCTCATCTCAAAGTATAACAAGTCAGGGGCATGAGGCTACTAATACTAAACAGAACATGCTGAGAGATCATAAATTGTGGGCCAGGCTTCAGCATTTACTCTCACATCTGAAAGGTGACATTTTCAACAGCACACGACAGGATTAGTGCACTGCTGTTACAGGCTGTTTTACTCCTCAATCAACATAACATACTGCCCATTTAACCAGCTAAGGGCACTTATATCTAATGATGATTTCTGCTCTGGTTTGCACTAGGACTTAAGCAGAATTATTTGTTTCACTAATACGTATATACATACAATCACTTGACTAGCTTTTCTGTGGTAGATGCTTCAAAACAGAGCTATTGCTCTTCAGTAGCTCTGGACATACTTTTAGGCAAAAGAAAAATCTAGGCCACACCTAATACCATCAACAAGGGCACATTTGCATCTGCAAGTCTGTAGGAATGCTGCACTGGCTCTAGAGCATGGGGAAAGTGCTGTAGATTACTGCATGGGTGGGAATGACTGCTTGCCTCATTACACAGTGATGCCATTCATCCTAAACTAATTGCCACTATGGCAAGGCTTTGATTAAAACAGCATGGGAAGTAAACTGTTTTAAAGGAGTTTACTTTCTTTCCTTAGAAGAGGACATGATTACATTTAATGAGAGCTTTCTATTTTCTGAGTATTTTTTTTTCCACCTTCAGATTTTGTCAGTCTGAATCTAACAACCCACACAATGTTTGTGTTTTTGTTTCAGGGATGAAGACAAGTATCACAGCCATAAAAGAAGGAAGTAGAAACAAGAACCTGATCATTTTGTTTTTCAGCTGTTGAAAGAATTACTCACACAGGAACTATCATAACTGCTGTTGTGCCAGGGACAGTAACACCATGGACCTAATATTGGTGCTGTATCACAGCTGTGGTTGGAGACAAAAATGCTTTTATCCTGACAAACCTTAATGCTAGTCAGAAAATGTGTGCATCTGTAACACTAATGCATCTATTAATAAATTATATTGATCTCTCATCTATTTGAGTTTAATCTGTCAAGGCTGAAGAAAGAAATGTGAGAGGCTGTACTAATTAGTGGATATAGAACAGAGCTAATCCCTGGAGTCTAGGACCAAGTGCAAATGGAAAAGGCATGAAGAGAGCTCCCCTCCCACCTGCCAGTGTCCTCTCTGGGCTAAAAAACCTTCAATTGCAGCTAGTGGTAAAAGGGAAATAACAGGAAAGTTACTGTTCCTAAGCTCATGCTAAAGAAATTTATGATCAGTGTCATCTGGCAGAGATGATGAGAATACAGCTCTCCACAGAAACTAGCAGGGAGGCACCAAGGACTGGTTTCACTGACTGCCATTTTCAAACACCAGGTATATGCCCATTTCCTTCCAAAAAGAACCATGAGTTCCCATCCTGTAGTCTAACATAAATACTAGTGATAGAGGTTGATAAAACAGTAAGGCTTAAGACATGCAGGTACATATTAAGGGTATGCAGGAGGATTCCACTTCAGTGAGACTTATTATATCAATTTCTAGTGCTGTTAATTCCACACACAGTCTACTACAGCAAAGTCACATCAGCAGCAGCCAAGCTTGTTACCTCAACAAACAAGCTTGCAAATCCAGCTTTCCTACACTACTTTCTTCTGTTTGATCGAGTTGCCAGGAGAGGGCACTCCATGTGCTCCTGGTTTTGGCCCTCAGTCCATGGCATCTCTCCAATTTTACTGTAGCCACTGGTATCTTGTCTCTTACCTCAATCGCTTCTGCAATTGAGTGTGACTATCTGTCACTAAATACTTAGTCTAGTTCTGATTGATTTAGACTTCTGTACCTACTACAGCTGTTCAACTCATGAAGTTCTCTGGAGTAAGGCTTGGTAAGAGTCTTACACAAATACAGCTTGTCTTTTGACTACCCTGTCTGCAAGAACATGACCTATTAAATTAATAGTTTTACCAAGCTCCAGAGAACTTCATGAGAACCCCGAGCCTCAGCTGGTAGAAGAAACATCAACTCAAGGAAGAAAGGACAGCAATAGTTACATATTGTTTTCACTCAGGACCCTTTCAAGAACTGAAGTATCTTTTTCCATTCTTACACAGACTTGTCTAAGGATCTGTTTTAAAATATGTCTTGTTTTCAGACTAGAAAATCTACTGCATAAAAGTGTCAGTGCTACCATAGCATAACAAGAAATGCAGCAATTGTAGCTGTCCCGTGTTACTCTAAGTTTAATTCTGTGTTTCACTTCTTAAAATCACTGATGAAGTATAGGTAAGGAGATCCATAACAAAACACCTTTTCTTCAATATAAACAGATGAGTCAAGGTACCACTCCCTGGGTGTGAGCACAGGTAGTTGAGAGGCAGGAGAGCACTAGAACCATGTATTCAATTAACATCCACTGAAGGGCAATTTCAAGAGTGGGATAAAAGGTAAGGAAGTGACAGAGAAGATCTTGTATTATAATGTACAAATAACGGTCCTTTGAACACATTATTTTCTTGCACATATTTATTGGGTTTTTTTCCCCCCCCCTATCACCTGGTGCTGAAGAGTAGGCTTCAATCAAAACAGTGTTGAGGGCTGAGTCAGAAAGTTTCTGAGCAGCACCATGCCAGCTTGTTGGTCACTGGAAAGGAATAAACCAAATACTTTAGAACAATACTCTAACATAGTAAATCCTAGCGTGTTGGATGAGATACCATTGACGGTTATATTAATTTCAAGCAAGAGCGGTATTATTAAAAAGTGGTTCTTTCTTACTAAAAAGTATCAAATTGCTACCTAATGACAAACTAAATCGGTTCATTTGTGTTCTCGTGCATTTTTGAGCTCCCATATACATGGACCTTTTTGCAATCTAAGAGAGTGTATGGGGTTTGTGTGGCCAGGTTTTGGTAGCAGGGGGGCTACATGGGTGGTTTCTGTCAGAAGCTGCCTTCCCCCATGTCCAGCTGCTGGCCAAGGCTGAGCCCATTGGTGACACTGGTAGCACCTCAAATAATATTTAAGAAGGGGGAAAAGAAAACTGCAATTGCAGCAGGAGAGAGGAGAATATGTGAGAGAAACAACTCCGCAGACACCAAGGCCAGTGAAGAAGGAGGAAGAGGAGGTGATCCAGGCCCCAGAGCAGAGATTCCCCTGCAGGCCGTGGTGCAGCCCATGGTGAGGCGGCTGTGCCCTGCAGCCCATGGAGGGTAACGGTGGAGCAGAGATCCACCTGCAGCCCAGGGAGGACCCCACGCTGGAGCAGGAGGGGAGTGTTAGAGCAGCTTTGGTGGGCACCTTGGCATCCAGTCAGGGTCAACCCATCACAGACAGAAAGACCAGTTCCCAATAGTTGAATGTGGTAGGTAGCTCTTGGAAGGCAAGCCTGTTTTGGATCTCTTTAAATTGGTTTAAAAATAAAGTGCATTTTGTACAACCTATGTGTAACTTTGGATAATGAGTGGTGGTTTATCACTGAGAGCTGGATTGAAGACACTGTCATTTTCATATATTCCTAATGCTAATTCCATGCTAATTCTAGCAGGAATAGATGCAGATTCTTAGTGGATCCTTTCCTCCATCTGCTAAAAAGTTAAGAGGTTTTGACACTGAATTTTGTGGGCACAAGACTTCACATAACCATTCATAGTCTATTAGAGTTGAGATTTTCACTTGTAGCAGTTAGCATGAGTTAGGTCTAGTTAGTAGAGCTGTTAGTACAAGCCTGTGAATTTCAAGTTTTTGCTGTTGTAGAAGTTGACAAAAATGTGATCAGCCATCAGTCTAAAGCAACACAATAGTGCTGGTGAGCTCAAGAAAAAAGGTAGCCAAAATATGCAAATAGCCTGTTGATCATCATAAAGTGCAGGTGTCCAGAAGTATTCACAACAAACAAGCTGTGAGTGCCAGCAATGGTGACAACACATCAGAAAGGGGCATTTGAATGGAACGATCATCAACAGGGTATTCTCTACCCAAACCTGTAAGAAGGACACATAATAATATTGGGGGGAACCGTAATTTGCTAACAAACTACTTGAAGTCAAGAGGTGAGAACGGGGTTGCCTCTTCATTATGAAGCAAGCCAAAGATTGCACAACAGCACAGAAAATACCTGAACAGCCACCACTGATAGCAAACCAGCCAGGTTTTTGCTTAACTTCCAACCTACGCATCTCCTGCTGTGAAGAACTGCATCAATTTATGGCTTACTGACAAGACCAACACCAAACTATAAACCCACCTCAGAGAAAGCAGAAAGAGGAACACAACAGACAAGACACATACCCAACCACCTCAGCTTGGTACAAATAGCAAACCAGGATGAAGTATTTGGGTGGGACTATGTCCTGCCTTTGCCCTTTATATCCACAGAAGGCAACCAACAATCTACCATAGCTAACACTACAAAAATGGAAGTGCCAAACTAAGACAAAGTGCATACTACATGTTTTCTCAAGAAAATTTCAAGGGAGAAGTAATTCAGGCAAAACACAATAGAAACATCAGACTTCAAGCGGGAACTTCTAATTTCTCTCTCTGGTTTATGATCTATGTTACATCAAAAGAGCAGCCCATAATATGATGCTGGTTCCAGTACCAGTAATATGCAGATGATACCAACCTGTATATAATTGCTTCCTACAGGAAAAATTATACCACCAGGTAGTGACTTCAATATTTCTAAGATGGGTAAATAATATTTTATCATTTAACAGTTCAAACCCCAATGTTGACCACTTAATAAAAAATCACTCTGTACACTTTCACTATAACCTTAGTCAACCTTTACTCCTGTCATTATGGCTACACCCAAAGTGAAGATAGACTATTCACCTGAAATTAAAGGTTTATGGAGAAACTAAAGGTGAAAAATTAAAATTCTATGCACAGATTTTTACTTACGCTTGTTCTTTAATTCTGTGGAGGAATACTTCAGTTTTCTCCTCTGGTATCTCTCCATCAATACTGGCTAAATAGGAGTAGAGGAATGAGAATGTTTCAAAGGGAATGCAAGCCGCTCCTCCTTCTGGCTCCCTTGTTAAGATTTCACAGGCGTGTTTCATTGAACTCAGTAAAGACTGCAGGGGGTTCAGTCAAGAAATGAGAAGAACAGTATCAGAGCCATGAACATTCTTTCCGTACCCTGACAAAATCCACACTGTAAGCCACTAACAGTGACTGTAAAGGAGATGAAGACTTTATCATTATTACCTAGCTTTCAACATCAAATTTACCCTCCAGTGCAGGTCCAAGAATGGAAACGATAATGAAGTTCCAGTAGAGACAGGAGTAAAGAAATACCAGAATCTCATGATGTTTAAAGATTGCACTGGGTAGTCTGAGCCCTGTCACCTGTATGGTCAAATTGCTCAGTTCTGCTACTGTAAAAATTCCAATATCACTATATTTAGTGTATATATATACATACATATATATATATATATATACACACACACATATATACACACACACACACACACGTGTGTGTGCATGCATGTGTGTGTTTCCTTATTATCTCAATGGATCTAAATGAATTCTCAGCAGCAGTTAAGACAGACAAATCTACAAACCTCAGAAAATTCATATGGGTTTGATGATTTTTATTATGATGTAATATTATATGATATTAATTTTTAGGAGTGTGATATTTACTGTTTTCTCTAGTTGTATGCAAGTTCCATTTTAGTAGTTAGTAGAAAAAGCACCGAGGCAAAAAGCATTTCACAAATATTTCAGTTTAGTCAAAGCCCAATAATGTCTGAGCTCCCTTAAAAACAAACATGCCTCAAAGTATTAGTTCCAAATATACTTTGGAAAAATCCTTTATTCAATACAGTGTCTATAACCCAGTGCCCTACATATGCTGAGCTATACAGGAAAACATGTGGGAAAATTCAGCATTGAGCTTCATTGAGTCAAGGACTGGTTGGATGCCATTAAAACAAAGGAACAAAACCCAAAGAAATCACACAAGTGTTTAACTCAAGTAGTAATATTTTTGCTGTAACTTTTTCAGAGTTTACCCTTACCTCTTCATTAACAAGGAAGCTATGATTTTGTAAAAAGATAAGTATTTACTAACAGTAGAAAAGCAATATTTAAAATAAATGCAATACCTGTTCAAGATCTAGAACACAGGCCAGAGAAATGTCCTTTTATAATCCCTTAACAGTTTTACTTAATGTAGTTCTTCTCCCAGTAGGCCTCTCCGGGTAACGAGAGGGAGCTGCCTACATGCTGACAGACTCTACCCTCTGCTATTTGCTACCCCTCTACTGCAGTTCCTGCTCCTGTTTCTCCCAGCTGCCACTCGCTCGCTCTCACAGCACAGCAAAGTTATTCACATCGATTTCACCGCTTTTGAAAAGCTACCTGTGTAGTTCTCTCTCCAAGGCTGTAAAAACACGTCAGTGCTTTGCAAAAAGATACTTCAGATGACTGGTGTTATTAATAAGCTCCTAAGTGCCTACTCTTGTATCTTATCCGTGACTCTATTCAGCTATAAATGCAATTTACAGCTGCAGGAAAATTAATGTAAAATTTTTGTGTGCAACTTGCTCTCTGGTTTAGAAACTTCAGTTTAGGTTTCAATATGTAGAGCAGAAATCAAATCATTCACTTAATATCTGAAAGGATGGATAGATGGAGGTAAATTTAGACTGTCTAGCTTCATCAGAATGATGTTCCTGTGACACTGTTTTTGGTTTCAACTTTTTTTTTTTTTAAATAAGTAACATTGCTGTTATTTTTAAACGAAAAAAAGGACCCAAACTACAAAATCGTGTTGGCAAGAGGAATGAAACCAAGAAATACAGTTAAAATGAACAAATACTTATTATACATGATTGCATCATCAGACCAGGTTAACATTCAGGGCTTCCAGATATTGCAACATTCTCAAAATATTATTTAACATGTATTTTCTTTTCAGTACCCCTTATTCCCTACTGTAAAAGTAATTAAAAATATTATACTTCTTAAGAACATCAGCTTAGTACATTTTATAATCTCTCATTCTGTTGAAATGCTCTGCTGAGATTTTATTACTGAACATTAAAAGTATTAAATGTAGATTTAGTAACATTAACTGCCTTGTGAAAATTTAATTGACTACACAATCAATTAAAAATTGATGTTTTCATTTCTCCCTCTAGTTCTCCTCTGGACATCTATACTGATGCTGTAAGCATCATTCCTCTATCATCTTCTCTCTCATGGTCTAAGCTCCCTGCAGACATGCTTGCTCTTCTACTGCCATCCCAGCAAACTCAGGACTTAGCCCTCTTTCTGGTTAAGCTCCCCTGGCCAAAAGCTGATGAGGAACAGAAGTAAACACGCAAGGCACTTGACAGCTGCTGCAAAAGCAATCAGAATTCCCCAAAAGTCCATTAGCAATAATTGTTCTGTGGTCTACCTCATGTACAATCGTATATGACCGTTTGCGTTTGGATATGAGGGCTCCCACCCTGAACATACCCTGCCGAGCACGCTGCACCCAAGTGCCAGAACCTTCATCCATTCCACCTCCTCACCGAAGTCATCCAACTGCAAGATAGCTTTCAGCTGCTCTTCTGGCAAGCACAAGTGCTTCCATTTCTCCTTCAGTTGTGCAACGCTCACCATGCCTTTGGGAGACAGCTTTAAACAAAATCATGGTACCACAATAAGAACTCCAAAAACCAAAATGAAACTGAGAACACACAGTCCCTCCTCAAAATACATCAAAATACTTGACAGTCAGTCTCCCCAGCTATCCCTGGCACATCAGCATTCTGCATTTGATTAAGGCCAGTTTGTACCTGCTCATGCAAGATTTTAAGGAGTCCTGGGGTCAAACCAGCATCTGTTTTCTCTGCTGCTAAAGGCATTTCAATCCTTTTCTTCACAGGAAGGGGCTCGCCTTTTGACAACGCCGAAAAATACCTAAGTGAATGAGAAAAGCAACACACTTCAGTGCCCATGGCTGTTATAAGCTGCACAGAAGTAAATGCTCTTACAGTTCAGTGTATGAATGGCCATACTCCAGTGCAGGAGCGGCAGTACTCGGCAAGCTGCAGACCCCCCC